GAGTAACAATTCTGTGGCCCTAATAACGTTTCTGTGGCCCTAAGTAACAATTCTCTGGCACTGAGTAACAATTCTGTCTGTCCCTGATTATGAATTCTGTGGCCCTAACTAGCGTTTCTTTGTCCCTAAAAAACGATTCTGTGGCCCTCATTAACAAGTCTGTGTCCCTGAGTAATGGTTCTCTGTCCCTAAGTAACTTTTCTCTGTCCCCAATTATCGTTTCTGTGGCCCTAACTCTGTCCCTGTCCCTAGTACAGAGCAGTCTGCCTCTGTTCAATAACTGCAGGCAAATGAAGAATTCCAAAATGGCCGCTATTTAAAGCTCGACCATTACACAGTGCTGGCTGGCTGGCTGCTGATAGGCTGATGCGATCACATGTAGTTGAGGCATGCATTATGAGTCAGCGCGCCTTGTCTGCGCGCCTTCCCAGACATCCCCGCTCCGTCGCCGCACATGTCAGCCGCCATTTTCTGAAAAATTTCGATTCGCGCGTCCGAATTAGGCTATTTTTCGGATTCGGCACGAATCGAAATTTTTCCGATATTCGACTCGAATTCCACTTCGGATACTTCGATTTCGCTCATCTCTACCGCTAACCATTAGAAAAATCGAACGTTCCAAACATGACTTCTTTTGAACAATATTCTACTGGTGTATGGCCAGCTCTGGAACTTCGGAGAGATTTCTTAATACTTTCTTTTGCATCAACTGGAAAGGATTTGTGGGTAAATTTCAGAGATGGCAAAAAGGACAACTATTATACAAACAAAAAAGCAGTGCTAATGTGTACCGAGTATACAATAATATAATAAAGAAATGAAAAAGTGCAAATAAATAATAAAAAGTGCATATATAATGTGCAAATACATATAGTCCATATATCATGGATCCTAAATAAAATAAAAGTGCATAATAATACAATTTTTCACAGTATTTGTACACAATATATCCATAAGTGAATGTGCTTGGAAGAACACTGACACTTCCCAATAAGGGAGAAGATCACTCTACAGACATTTCGTGATCCTAAAAGTTCAACACTATGTGTGACCCGCTGCCAGACGCCTCTTTCCAGAAAGGATGGACCATAAAATTATAAATTGTCCAACATGCCTTATGAACGTCATCCACTAGCTCCAATAATACGTTAGGAAGCTTTTCCACAGTAGGCAGCAACAAAGAGATAAAAAAAAAAATGCACTTCCAAGTAAATAAAAAAAGGCTTCACACCATTTATTGCTCATTTAAAAGATTTCCATACAGCATCAAAAGCACGTATTGCATCAGAGCACTGAATGAATAAAGCCAACATCAATTAAAAGATAGAATAGCAGGATGATAGCTTGCAATATGGAAAAAACACTGAACACCGTCAACATCAAACGTGATGACGTCACGGCAAGCCACAACAGGTGCGTTTCAGCAGAATGACGTATTTAGGAGATGGGCTGAAGAATTCTTAATACCTCCTTTTGTTTCAAATGGAAATGATTTCAGAGATGGGAAAAGGAACTATAATATTTACAAATGTGCAAAATGACTTTTTACAGAGACACAGAGGCCCCTCCCCTCTTTTTTGGGGGTTCATTGCTTGCTACTAAACTGAGTGACAACTGGGCAGATCTAAACAGGAAGTTCAAAGCATACTGTATTTCTGGCAGATCAATAGGTATTTGCAGCATTTGTAAATTGATAAAACATGAGGAAATGTGTATGTAATGCAAAGATGTACTATTTATATTTTTTATTTTCCCTAACATACACTTTAATTTTATCTTTCCATTTACTGGCTAGCAGAGATGAGTGCTGGAGATTATGCTGATTGTGGTGCTGTAAGGTTTATTTTTTTTTTATTATTAAATATTTTTATTATTATTTTATTCAGTAACCAAGGTTCAGTAAACCCAACACCAATCCATGCAAATTTTTTTACTTCTAGACTTACTTTGTTTTTACTTCAGCACTTCATCAGTACCAGACACTTGTTACTATACAAGTACCCCTTCCTGCCCCAGCCACTTTTCAGCTTTCAGCGCTGTCACAATTTGAGGCTAAATTCACACTAGCCCACACGCTGCTAAATAAATAAAAAAGACCGAAAAGTTAAAAAAAAAAAACATTTTTCTTCTTCTCTGTTATAAAAATTTTGCAAATAAATAAATCCTTCTTCATAAATTTAGGCCAAATGTATTTCTGCTGCATTTTTTGTGGTGAAAATAACCCAAATCAGTGTATATTATTTAGTGTGGAAGTTAAAGAGTCCACAAACTTTGGTAAATATATATGAAAATCAATCATTCTTGATGTACTGAGGGCTCATTTGTTGAGGCCCGAAAATGCCAGGACAGTACAAATATCCCCAAATTACCCCTTTTTGAGAATTAGAAGTACAAGGTATTTCGTAAGAGGCATGGTGATTTTTTTGAAGTTGTAATTTTATGTCACAATTTTTTGGAAAATGAAGACATTTTTAAAAAATAGTTTGTTCAGCATCATCATATAACTGGTGTGGCAATATGTAAAAAGATAAATACAATCAACAGAAAATTTTAAATTATTTTCTTTGTTATTAAACTCGAAAAATTAGAATATCGTGCAAAAGTTCATTATTTCAGTAATGCAACTTAAAAGGTGAAAACTAATATATGAGATAGACTCATTACATGCAAAGCAAGATAGTTCAAGCCGTGATTTGTCATAATTGTGATGATTATGGGCTTACAGCTCATGAAAACCCCAAATCCACAATCTCAGAAAATTAGAATATTGTGAAAAGGTGCAATATTCTCGGCTCAAAGTGTCCCACTCTAATCAGCTAATTAAGCCATAACACCTGCAAAGGGTTCCTGAGCCTTTAAATGGTCTCTCAGTCTGGTTCAGTAGGAATCACAATCATGGGAAAGACTGCTGACCTGACAGTTGTGCAGAAAACCATCATTGACACCCTCCATAAGGGGGAAAGCCTCAAAAGGTAATTGCAAAAGAAGTTGGATGTTCCCAAAGTGCTGTATCAAAGCACATTAATATTCAAATTTTTTGAGTTTCACCTGTACTGAGACCAAAGCAATACAGAGTTATAGTAACACTGCACTGTTCTGAGACGATCAGGTTTTTTTTTTTATACATTATGATTGCTTAAACAGTAAGTATCACTGTTATATACAACAATTTTTACTGAAAGAAATTGATTATTCAGTGTGTATTGTTGTGATTATCTGTGATTGGCCACAGCTAATCATATGGTACATATTGGCTGTGATTGTTCCGGTCTGTACCATGTTATCACAGCAAGCAACAAAAGTATACAAAATGAATGGCATGAATGGGAGCCATCCATTGTGTACAATTATAATGTGATCTGCTGTGATTGATCACATGGTACAGACAGCGGCCTGGTACAGTGATCTATCATTGGCTGTGTCTGGTGGACACAGGAGGTGACAGATTGGGCCACAGAGTGACCCTTGGGGCCTGCACAAGGAGTGTTCTGGGGAGGATGTATATGACATCCACCCAAAACGGGAGAGCTCCTGCCCGGCCATCATTTGTCTATAGGTTGGGTGGGAAGCAGTTAAAGTACCTCAATGTGGGCAAGGCCAGTTGATGGTACCCAAACATAGAATAATGATACCAAGGAAAGTGAAACAATTATTATTTGGATAAGTAGAGGTTGCTATGGACTACCACACTTTTCACTACTTTGCCATATTAAAGAAAAACATAAATGTACAGTCTGATATGAAATGATGAAATAATAAAGGCTTCATCAGATGGGAAAAAGACATGATGGGCAGGTTTATCCTCCTACCACAATCGTTGCAACAAAAGTTTTAATTTTTACAGATATTCTAAATAATGGCACATTTCATTACACAGAATTAATAATATATGTCATTAACAAAGCTTTTCATTTAATCTGTTTAATGTTCTTCTGGTGAAAAAATACTATAATAGTAAAAATACAAAGTGTGGCTATTCATGTACATTGACAGTTAAATGATTTGTTTTTAAAACACAAAATCATTAATTAGATGCAAGAAAAGATATAAAATGTTATGGCTGCTCAATGCTTATTATTTGTTATTTTAGAGCATCCAGTCTGTGCCCCAGGGCAGCTTACAGTATAACATCATTACTCCAGGCACAGTATTTCAGGGACAGTATAGGTTATGTCTCAGTTGATTGAACAGACCTATCCTTTCCACAGGCATAGAAAGATTTCAGGGTCATCACAGCCAAAATCCAATTAATGTGCTGGTTTATTATGGAAGCTGACAGAACCCAAAGGAGGCCATCATAGGCTAACAAACTTGGTGATATAGTAGCACACAGGTACTTTACATATCAAAATTCTGCCCAGAAAATTTCCCAAATATGTTATACAGTATTATTCTCACCAACACAATATCAGACAATATTTAGGAATAAAATGAAATATTCCAGGTGACTTAATAATGCACCTTTTAGGCTCCATGCACGCTGACTTAAAAACAAACGCTAGTGCTCTTGGCAAACAAAATGCTAATTTTGAAGGTTTTTTTGTACTAGCATTTAGGAAGCATTAAGCACAAAACAGAAGGGTTTTCTGCCTCTACAAGCTGAGCCTCTAAAAATGCCTCTAGACTACCTGATGTGCATGCACACATAGGATAACATTAGTTGCTTCTACAGGCAAATCGCTAAACTCCTCTAGGAGCAGCATTGGTTAAGCCAGTGTGGAGCCTTACTGAGCTGAATGCAGCAAACTAAAATCTGACTGATTGCAACTGGTCATAACACATGAATACTGTGTATCTGATTGTCATTCAGGGATCAGGAAGGATTTTATTTACATATGTAGTGTCCGTGCCATAAGCTAGAGTATCCCTAGCCAAGTGTCTGCAGCTAGGTTGTAGCCAGCCAGAGATTTGATCTGTGTTTGTTGGGTTTCTCCTAAGCCCAGGACATTGATTCCTTTTGTCTGCTGCTGTTGAGTGTTTTTTCAATAGGAGGAGTAAGGAGCAGGGGCGGACTGACCATTTGGAAACTCGGGCACTGCCCGAGGGCCCGGGGTCAGTAGGGGGCCCCATGAGATGCCCCTGGTACCTTTTTCATAGGCTTTTTTGAGTTTGGGCAAGGACACAGGGGCCCCATGATCCCCTATTGCCCGGGGGCCCCATGAGTTGTCAGTCCGCCCCTGGTAAGGAGTTACATTGTATTGGTTTATAAATATTCTTTCTTTCTTGGCCAATCACTTTTTTTTTTCCAGTGATGTGGGTTGAGTAGGAAGATAAACATTTGGGGGTGACTTTCTAGAGAGGTTCTTGCCTTCCAGTCTTTGCCTAGTGATAATGTCTGTGTAGAACGGGCCAGGTTTTTTTTTTTTGCCTTCCAGGCCGTTGCTTAGGGGAGGAGGCCAGAAGAAAGAAGGCATCTACCTGAGGCCTGAACCTGATCCTACAGAAGATAAACTGGGCTGTGGCAAAGACACAAGAAACAGAAAGGTCACTGCCCATCTGGGCCTACAGAATCTATGCTGGCCTATGGCAGTATCATAAGAAACTGGAAGATATTTGTCTGTCTTTTTTCCATTAGTTGTGGCTACGCAAGCTTGACTGCTCCTTGTACTACCATACAAAATTATCTTTTCTGTCTGTGATCTGTACCAATAGTGAATGAATTCATCTACTGTTTCACATAGGGTTTAGTATAATTTTGTCCTACTGTTCTCCTGAACCTACTGTACATAGAAATAAAACTAACATTTAAAATAAAAAGGTCAGTTTTTAGACTTAACAATTACAGTTACACTGGGTTATAATTATATAACATTTCACATACATTGGCGTAACATTTATAAACCAAATGCCCTTTTCCTCTTTCATACCAAAGTTGACCTATATTCTTTGATCAACTTTTCTTTACGTTCATTTTCAAAATAAGGTGACAAAATGCAAGAGCAGTAGTCATATAGGTTTTTAGAAAAAGGAGAACTGAAAACTGATTGTCCTCTTTGCCAAAAGATTTGTGGCCAATACCCAGACATTTGGTCATATGACCCTGCACTAGAGTGTCTCCGAACTGGAAAATACTTGACATTTATCTTATGCTGTTTTTACAATTGCAGATGAATATAATAAAAGGAAGTAGTCTGGAGGGTATAGGTCTGATTTTAAAATATGGAAGAGAGGATTTCTTTTTGTTAGCTATGCTATGATCTTGTTCCTCGGAAATGCACTGTTTTATACAATTCTTGACATTTGTCCTTCGGGGGGTTTTTTTTATCTCTGAAGTGATGAATGTGAAGGAGAAAAATTGTACAAAGGGCAGTGGTCCTCTCTAAAGATCTGATATGCTGAATGTATTTGAAAAATAGTTTATTTTTAGACCCAGCAATTACAATTAAACAAAGGTTAGAATGATCTTTTAATACATTTCTTAAATATATATTTGGTGGAAAATGGCTCTTTTTCTTTCATTTCAAAGTGGACCTGTATTGTTTAGACAACTGTCCTTTACATTAGTGAAAATAAGATGACAAATAAGGTGTCGGAACATTGGTCGTATGGCTCTGGAAAAACAGCAATGAAGACTGATTGTCCCTTATTCTAGAAAACCTGTAATCAATACTCAGATATCTAGTCACATGACCTGCGCCAGAGGGTCTCAGAACTGGAAGAAATATAGGAGAAAAGAATGTATTTGACATTTGTCTCGTGCCTTTTCTTCCCTGCTGATGAATGTACTAAACGGACATTGTCTGGAAGGTATAGGTCTGCTTTTAAAGGAAGGTTGAGAGCATATTTTGTTAATTATGTTATTGTCTTGTACCTATACTATTTGACACTGTTATTGACATTTGTCCTTTGGTTCTTATCACTTAAGATAATGAATGAAAAGAAGGAAAATAGTAAAGATGGCAATAGTCCTAATTTAAGACCTGATTAGCTGAATACATTTGAAAAATAGCTGTTTGATATGGCGTTATCTATGAATGGTTGTACTGTTACATATGTACATGAAATGGTAGAATCTCGGGAAGTTGTGTTTACATTGGATTCCATACAGCAGTACTGCCACAGAGGTTAACCGAGTCAAAGCAGCAGAGACATCAAGCTGTGCTCCCCAGATGTAATGAACTTCATATTTAGCAGCTGGGAAATCACAGATTACCTTTTTTGACATGAATAGAAATAGGTTTGATTGCAGAGAAAATCAAAGGGAGTAAGTGAGACGGTACACCGTTCTCATCTAGAGTGCTCACGTATGAAAAGCGAAGGTCTGAGGACCAGCGAAGGGGAGGGGGCAGTCACTTGAGATCTTTGAAATAACATAAGATTGCAGATGGTTATTATGATAGTTGCTGTGGATTGTCTTGCCAACAAAAGGGAATCATATACGACTGAAGTAAATTATAAGTTGGGTTAAATAGATGTATTCTTCATTTCAAAGGTAAACAATTCATTTATTGAAAGCACTATACACCGAATTTCCACTTATATACATAGCTGTTTGTAATACATTCATGAATTGTTTTCATGATGATTTTACCCTCTAGATGTAAATGGTACCCATAGCTTTTAGCTGGCAGTTTCACTCAGAGAATGATCTAATGTCTATGAGGTACCTCCAGATACTACTATTCACAGGCCATCAAAGTAGACTAGAGATCACCAGACATATGGTAAACATAGTTACATAGTTAGTCTGGCTCAAAAAATACAAAAGTCCATCCAGTTCAACCATAGAAAAAAAAAATTATAATCCTATACCCACAGTTGATCCAGAGGAAGGCAAAAAAAACCCAGCAAAGTATGATCCAATTTGCTCTTGCTGGGAAAAAAATTCCTTCCTGATCCCCTAAGAGGCAATCGGATGTTCCCTGAGAGGCAATTGGATATTCCCTGGATCAACTTTACTCAAACAATGAGAACTTTTTCAAGAAATAGTTGGCTTAAGGTCTACCGTGAATTCAAAGGGAGGAAGCTATTACAAAAAGGTGTAAAAATATAGCATTATGGGATTAACAATATAAAAGGTAACAATTATAGACAGTTAAATAGGGTAATATGCAACAGGAAAAAAAAAAGCATATCTATCCACTCACGTATACACATGAAGGCAACCCTAAACTATTTACCCAGTTTTAAGCACCTAAAATTAACAGCATGAATAACCATGTGTCCACTGAATATAAGATAACTTGGCTTTCAGTCTACAAAATAAATTATTAATATTATACAGGATTGATATAGCACCAACAGTTTACTTTGCAACATGAGGTACATGTACTGTACAATTACACTACAATTTAATACTGGAGGAATCAGAGGGCCCTGCTGGTTACAATCTAAAAGGGAGGGTCAAGAGATCCAAAAGGTAATAACTGTAGGGGATGAGCTGATGGAGAAATAAAATACAGTTCTTAGGTGGAGGCAGTGTAGGCTTCTCAGAAGAGAAGGGTTTTATGGGATCATCTAAATTTGGACAGAGTAGGAGATAGTCGGACAGATTGGGGTTGGGAGTTCCATAGGATAGGAGAGGCTTAGGAGAAGTCCTTGGTGGCAAGCATGGGAGGAGATGATTTGGGGAGCTAGAGAGCAGGAGGTCTTGGGAGAAATGAAGAGAACAATTAGGTTGGTATTTTGAGACTAAGTTAGTGATGTAGCTGTGGGCCAAGTTGTGGATGGCTTTGTAAGTTGTTGTTAGCATTTTGAATTTAATACTTTGGGTGAGCGGAAGACAGTGGAAGGATAGCAGACACTGAATGGTTGGTAAGGTAGCAGGGTCTGGCAGCGGATGTTTTAATGGTTGATTGCATGATCAATGGTCATAGAGTCCTCTCTTCCCTAAACATAAACATAGTCACTGGTCCTCTCCACATCCAGCTGTCTTCTCTTAACTCACATGGTCAAGTCTTTACTTCCTGTTACATCACTATGCCACCCCCTTACCTCCTGTCAAGCTAAGATTATCTGGAAGGGCAATTTAATTTGCATTTAAATGAGGGAAATGCTGAAACTAACTGAAAAAACCAAATGGGAGCTAATAAGGTGCATTTACAGGGCTGTTCATGGCTTTACACCGCCCAGATTATCATATACCTGTGGTAGGTATGGCCAGGTGTCTACGTTCAATTGTGGTCCCTTAGCATGTACAGATCAATGACAGGCTGAGAGGCTCCACTGCTGTCCTCATGTAATTGCACATGGAGCAATTACCTGTGGTTAGAGACAGATGAGCAGTCTTGGATGGAAGCAGTGGGGTCAATTTACTAAAACTGAAAAGTGCAAAATCTTGTGCAGCTCTGCAGAGAAACCAATCAGCTTTCAGGTTTTATTGTCAAAGCTTAAATGAACAAGCTGAAGTTAGAAGCTGATTGGATAACAATGCAGGTAATTGCTCCATCTGCAATTACAGATTCTGAGTGCTTCAGTTTTAGTCAATCAACCCCATTATGTGTACAGAACCATTCTTCTGTGACTAACTGCATTTAATCTCTCTTTTAGCAGTTACAAGTGGAAAGCCACAGACAGTGCCTGTCTCTCATGGATTTTTACAGGATTCCTTTCTACAAATAAACTTCAACATCTGGCAACAACCATCGTATAAATATGCTGTTCTGAGCAATGTATGACCATAAATGGAGATGTGAATGACCCCCAATATTGTTGATATAAAATCACAATAAAATAGTCATATATACAGTGCAGTTCATTTTTTTATTCTTCAAAGCAGCGAAAGAGGATAGCCCATACTTTTAGCGGCCAAGCAGATCCCCCTTCAGGACTAGACTCTAATACAAGGGCTTCTAAACTACAGTCTGTGAGCCAAATTCAGCCTGCTACAACATTTTATCTGGCCCATTTTATCTAGGGTCAGAGGCACATTCCCAATGTGGGGCCACTCACACATAGGTCTCACTTCGGGTTAGCAGAAGTCCGCTTCCACATCCCCTTCCCCTGGTCTCCAGCGCAGGTTCCATGCTGTCATTATCCCCATGGTTGGTTGCTAAGGCCACTGGCATTCTAGCAATCAATCACATGCTTGCCCAGCATTCACAGAAGGATTGAACTTCCTCCATCCAGACCTGCTCAACCTCTGTCATGCAGCTACATCAATGCTCTACACTCACAGCTCCGGCCTGGTATGACAGTCATGCTGCAAGTACAGGGTAAGGACAAGCTCTGATAGGTACACAGATGTA